CCCTTCTCGACCGCGGGATATCTGAAGAAAAGCTAGGCCCGTGGATCCATAGCAGTGCTGCCAGAGTCGGAGCGAAAAGAGCAGGGGTGCGAAGGTGGCGGAGTAGGAGCAGGCGTCGAGGCGTGCAGTCGCGGCGACCGCTTCGATCAACGTCGGGGTAACGAAACAGACGCCAAGGTATGCAGATCGAGCGAGTCAGCGAGTCAGCGACACCCAGCACGACGATTGGCAGATCGTCTGGCCACCAGGAAGAGGGACACCCAACGCGACGCGAACTCGACGTGGGACGCGCTTGTCCGCGAATGTTGGCGACGACCACGACGACGACGGCGTCGGCGATGACGACCACATCGCCGACAGTGACGAAACGGCGACGGCGACGGCGGCGACGTCGGCAACGCCGCCGCCGACGCCGACCTCCGCGCAGGCTGCCTGGGCCCCGCACTCTGCCGGAGGCCGCCGGAGAGGGCGCCGAGAGGCCCCACGGGGTCTCCTGAGGAGTCTCCTCCTCCTCCTCCTCCTCCTCCTCCTCCTCCTCCTCCTCCTCCTCCTTCCCGTTCCTCCTCCTTCCCGTTCCTGCTCCTCCTCCTCCTCCTCCTCCTCCTCCTCCTCCTCTTCCTCCTCCTCCCTTCGGCGGCGGCCTCCGCCGTGGGGCCTCTCGGCCCCAAGATGGCCCCGTTGCGGCGCCCCGGCGGCCCCAAGGGGGTCCCTGGGGGCCCCGAGAGGCCGCCGAGAGGCCGCCGAGGGCCGGCCACGCGCAGAAGAGAGGCACGAGGCAAGAGCGACCTCTGATACACGGCGTGAGGGGGAGAACGAGAAGCCCAACCCGGGCGCGCAAGCCGCCGCTATCGAACAGCAGCGATCGGGGGACCCCTCTCGGGCGGGTGTTACTGGGGGGTGACCTCGGTGGGGGGGGTGAAGAGAAGGGCCCCTCGGGGCCTTTGTCCTCCCCCTCATCTAGGTCGCCCCCCCGGCACCACCCGCCAGAACCCCAGTGGGCCCGCACCAGAGGTCGCCCTGGCAGAGGATCACTCCCACGTGTGCAACCAGAAGGACATCCCTCAAGCACACGAGAGTCCCCCGCCGGCCAACACACGCAGAGCATCCAGGAAGGCACCGTCCCCATGCAGGATGCACACGAGCATCCAAAGAGCACGAAAAACGTTGTTTCGTTCGCGTCGGTGGCTAGGCCGAGGGTGACTGCCCTGGCGATGACAGGCTTAAATGAGGATGCCCTCGGAGCGGATTGTGCCACCATGCAAGAGGAGGAGTAGGAAGGACGCGGCCGAAGAAAAACAAGGACGGGGCGGGCGGCTCAAAGGTCAGAACGCCGGCGAAGCCGACGGCGGAGCCGCCAGCGGCGACGACCGCAGGCCGCGCAGGCCGCGCACGTGGAGAGGCGGGCGGCGCGGCGGCAGCGGGGGTCCTGCCGCGGGCCGTCGGCGGGCCGCGCGGCGGGCGCGCCTTTTGCACGGGGTTCCAGCGCGTCGTCGGCCGCCGTCGGCGTGTCTTCGGCCGCTCGCCGCTCGCCGTCGCCGGCGCAGCCCTCGTCGCTGTCGGCGGCGGCGGCGCGCAGGAGGTAGGGGGAGGGGAAAGGGAGGGGTTGGGGATCGAAGAGAAGGGAGAGGGGCGCCGAGAGAGCATGGGAGGGGTGGAGGGGGGAGGAGGGATGATCCCTTTTTTTCCCGCTCCTCTACCCAAGTGCCTTTTCAAGGGCTTCTGAACTGTCACTGGCAAGCATTCGCTCAGGTTCTTCAAGGTCCTGGAATGCGGCCCCAACGGCCGGGAGGGAACTTTTGGCGATTACAATGTACATTGTTGTCCATGTCTCTCCCCTGCAGATCCTCTGCTGGTCATTCTTCCCTCAACCATCCTCACGCGACTAACAACTAACAGCTACTCGTTACCTCCCCCGAAGATGTTTTGAACTCGCGCTGCTAACGCTATCAACTAACGCCATATACGAAATTCCTCTACAACAACACCTTAGTGTGCTGACAGTATCCCGCCTTCTCCACACATTGTTTCCCGAGAGGATCTCCAACACTGCATCGTCCTGTGTTTCTCCTGGCCACCCTTGCCACCGTGGTTCGCCACGGCCGCCAACCGCGCTCTGGCCCTGCGCGCCTGGCCGCTGCTGCCCGCCGGCTGCTCATCGTCGAATTCTTCGGCGTCTGAGCGTCCCTCCATGCTCTCGGCCTCCCCCATCCCTCCTTGCACGCCGGCCGATTCGCTAGTTAGTGTCCCTTCCTAGCTGTTCGCTAGAGCGGATTTCGCGGCCTCGCCGCTGATGGAAAAGGTGTGCTTCTCCTATTGGAGCGCTCTCGCTCCTTCCAGGGTTTTGCCCCCCCCCCCCCCCCTGCAGCGTGGGCCTCATTTTAGAATCGGGGCTCTGCTGCCGTCCGTCAGAGTGGCGCTCTCGCCCCAGCGCGGGCCACCCTTCCAGGTCCGAGTCCCTCGTCGTCATCGCTGTCGCCTCCCTATGCTGTCCCTTCCTCCGCCTTCCCCTGGTCCTGATGCTCCTCCAGCTCCTTCCGTTCTGGTTCCTGCTGCTGCTGATGTCCTCGTGCTCGGCCTCGTCCTCCTCCCCCCCGCCTCATCATCTCTCATCCTCGTTCTTTTCCTCCTGCTGGTCCTCTCGCTCATCCGCCACCTCCTCCTCCAACGCACGCAACTCCACCATTGCGATTGCGCGTGGCAAACTTGGGTGTTCTTGGAGGGTTAAAGTGCGCAATGAAATTCGTCGGCGGATATGACATTGGAAAGGGATGGGTGGGATCGTGTCGCAAATGTGGCGCCAACGCACCTGGCTGCGCACCTAGCGGACCACTCCCGCTCTGCCTCCTCCTCCTCCTCCTCCTTCTTCTCCTCCACGTCTCCATCAATCTCCCTCCTCCTCATCCCTCCTGCGTCCTCCCCCCCACTGATACTCCATACCCCTTTCCTGCCTCCGCCGTCGTTGCCCTTCCTTCCTTCCTCCTCATCCTCCATCCTCCCACCTCCTTCCGCCAATACTCCCTCTTCAACATTTCTCCATCCCCCCCCCTCGTCCTCCTCCGCCCTCTCTGCGAACCCGCGGGGAGCATGCAGAACCTTCCCAACACTGTCGAGCACCTCCAGCGAGACGCAGAACTACAACACAGACTTCTACAACTTCGCCCAAACTGCGAACATCTAGGAAAACGCCCCAGCGACCAGGACCACGACGACGAAGGCAACGACGACAACGATGACGACGCTGACAATGACGACGACTCTGACGCTAACGCTGACGACCACGACGATGCCACCGACGGCGGCGGCGACGATCCCGCTGTCGACGACGGCAACAGCGGCGGCGATGACGTTGACGTTGACGTTGACGACGGCGACGACGACGACGGCGACGACGACGACGACGACGACGACGACGACGGCCACGACGACGGCCACGACGACGACGACGATCCCTGCAACACTACTGCCACCACCGTACCACGACGACCACCACGGCGGCGCCGCCGGCGCGCGCCGACGGCAGCCGCGACGGCGACCACGGCGGGGCCCACCCCGCCAGAGTCCGGCGGCGGCCGAGCCTGCCGCGAGGCCGCCGCGCGCGGCACCGGGCGCGGGCGGGGGCCGCGCGGGGCCGCCTGCGAGGGGCCCGCCGAGGTCGTGGGCCGCCCGCCGCCCGCCGTCCGCCACGTCGCCGTCGTCGCCGTCGTCGTCGCACCGTCGTGGTACCGTCGTCTCCGTCGTCGCCGTCGTCGTCGTCGTCGTCGTCGTCGTCGTCACCGTCGTCGCCGTCGTTGTCGTCGTCGCCGCCGTCGTCGTCGTCGTCGTCATCGCCGTCGTCGTCGCCGTCGGCGGCGGCGGCGGTGGCGGCGGCGGAGGCGTCGTATATGTCGTCGCCATCGTCGTCGTCGTCGCCATCGGCGTCGTCGGCGGCGGCGGCTTCGTCGTCGTTGTCGTCGTCGCCGCCTGCAGCTTCGGCGGAGCAGGAGAAGGAATGGAGGAGGTAGAGGAGAGGTTGGAAGGGAGGGACGGGAGACAAGGAAGGAGGGAGGGAGGAGAGAAGGATGGGGAGGAGGAGGAGGAGGATGGATAAAAGGGTAGGGAGGGAGAGAAGAAGTCAGAAGGGCAGGGGGCTGAGAAAGATACAAGGAGAGAGGGAGGAGGATGGACGGAAGAAGTGTAATAGAGGTCGCCGTCGAGGGAGCCGCTGCCGCCGAGGTCGCCGTGGCTGCAACTGTCCTAGTCGTCGACAGCGTCGCCAGCGTCACCGTCGTCTAAACCACTGTCGTCGGAGTCGTCACCGCCATCACCGCCATCACCGTCATCGTCGTCGCCGCCGTCGTCGTCACCATCCGCGTCGAGGGCGCCGTCGTAGTCGGAAATTTCGGATGGCTTCTTGAGGTTGCGCGAGGTTTGCAGAGAGGGCGAGGGAAGACAGTCAGAATGATGATGGAAAGCGTACATCGCACCAAGGGCATTTGATGGGGAAACATTAGCAGGGGTCCGGCTCAGGGGGGGGGGATATCAAGCTTGAATCGGCGACACATCGCCGATAGATCGGCGATAGGCCCCCGACAGCGAATACGCACGTCCCTGGGCGGGATGGGCTATCGGGCCCCTATCGGCGATGAATGGGGTGATCGGGGGTCGATGCATCCCCGCCTGAGCCTACCCCCCGCCCTAACGTTGCCCATGACATGGATGACGAACGTACGCCCAGGGGGCGACCACATCGTCACGAGCAAGCCAAATGTACGTCGCGCAATCGCGGCCAACGGTCTGCTTGAGAGACCAAGGACGCGGGTCGCGTTGTCCGCCGATTTGGAGGCACCGCGGGACTCGCCTCAACGGCGGAGGGGACCCGTGGCCCAACGTGCGACGGGAAGATGCGACGACGGCCGTGCCGAGAGGGGACGATAAGGTAGGACAAGCTCAGGAGATTGGCGGTTTGCCCCCGATAGCGAATCCGCACGTTCCTGGGCGGGGTAGCCTACCAGGCCTCTGTGGGCACAGACTGGGCGGTTGGGGGTCGAAGCATCTTCCTCTGAGCCAATCCACCCCGAACGTTGTCCCTGAAGTGCGCGGTTGTCAAAAAATGTCGGCTGAGCAGGGCCGCCTTTGGGCCTAGGGCCGTGAGAGAACGGCGGGGACGAGAGCTCGGGGGGTGCCCCCGCTGTGAAAACATACCCGGCGTCGGGTCGGAGGCACCAGGTGCTTGAGAGGCCCCCCCCCTCTCAAGCACCTGCGCCGTGCTGGAGAAGGGACTCCTCTCTCGAGCACGGCGCACCACTCCCCTCAGGGGTGCGCCCACGCGCGAGTCTACACGGGCGGGGGGGGGCACGCCACCAGCCTGCGAGCTTCAGCGGGCATCGCCGGCGACCTGTACAAGTGGGGCCTCTTGCTGTCCAGAGAGGCTACCGGAACAGCTGTCAGGTGCGCTCACGATGAGAGCGCGAAGCCAAAGTAAGCGATGAGCCTGTGTGAAAAGACTGCCGCCTGGAGAGACGCGGTGTCAGTCTGTCCTGGGCTCGCCGAGCGCGTCATGCCACCTTGCATTGCCCATCTCATCCGTCCACAATTGTGACAAGATCGTGTTGGCCTGCAAGCGAGTGTCGCCCCAACTGCCCCCTTTCCACATGGGCTGGATGTCCCAGTCGCAATTGATGTACGCGAAGAGGCGCACGTCGTTCTGCTCTATGAACTCCAACATGGGCTGAAACCAACTCTTCCACGCAGAAGCTGATTCCATCAGGGCCATGTCGTAGCCGCGCGCTGTCGACTCCACGATCGCCAAAGGCTTGTCCTTGGCGGCCGCCACATCATACCAATCCTTGACGTCCTGAAGATTTTGTGGTGTGTGACTCTTGTACGGATGCCCGTGTGGGTAGGGCGCGGTGAAGACCGAAGCACCGAACAGATCTACGTAACCATCTCCCGGGTACCATGCCATGCGGTCATGGCCCCCGTAGTTTTGGCGGCAGACGGCCGAATGCCAGACCCAAAGCACGTTCGTGACGTTGTCGCCCCGGAAGAGGTCGACGAAACGCCGGTAGGCGAGCCTGTACGCCGTCGGCTCGAAGTGGTTCCAAGAGCCGTCGAACTCGTAGCCTGGGCGCATGTACACGGGTCCGCCCGTCGTCTTGACCCAAGCTGCTATGCTCCTGATGTTGTCGTCCCAAACCCCAGCGACAACGTCGTCGATCTTGTCCACTATGTCGACGGCCAGGTTGAACGCAACGCCCTGACCATGCTTCTGCAAGAGGCATTCGGCGCACAGCATCCCGGCACCCCAATTTCCTGGCCCCCAGATCCCGCTTTGCACGTCGTCGATGATGACGTACACGCTAAACCCTGGCGGGGTCCCGAAGGCGTCCACGTAACCTTCGATGTTGTCGTTATCCTTTGGCATGAAGCAAACGAGTCCTGAGGGAAACTGGTGCTGGACCCCGTGGCATTCTTCAGAGACAAGCCTTCCGTTTTGGGGGGCGTTTTCAAACCACCTCGGGGCCCGTGGGTGGAGGGCCCACGAAGGCTAACAAAAAAAACAAGTATCAGGAGCGTTTCCCTCAGGACCCATTCTCTTCATGCCCTGACGTCCGACGACGTGATTTGTCCAACGTGCGGCCCAAACGTGCCAACCCCTCCCCCGGAGGTTGGTTTTCGCCCTGGATATATTGCCGATGGTCCTGCTTAGCGGGCGCCGGCTGTTATGCTACTTGCACGGCTGATAGAAATATCAAACGAATACGAGTTATGTACCTTAGCACCTCAGGTTAGCTTACACATGGTAGACTGAAATACTGCTGTGGTGGTATTTGAATTGTCTTCCCTGATGTGTACTAGCGGAACGGTGGTAGCGTGCCCGGGATGACAATCGATGACGCATCGCGTCCAGCAGTGCCACGACATGCATGCGCAATGCGATCGCCACAAAGTGAAACGCACAAAGGACGGATATGCTTAGAGATTACTCCATTGCTTAGGAGAACACTCTCCCAACAAAGTGTGGCCCTTCTCCTGCTTGCCAGGGCCTGCCGATACGATTTCCGACCAAAACGTATATGCCAGAACGGGCTGGTGCCAGGTAGGAACCCTGATGGCCCCGGCGGCCGACCCCCCAATCCAGCAAGTATTCAAACGGGTGGGAAAAAAAGGAGCAGAGGCAAAGGGGAACCGAGCGGAAGTGAATCGATGTGAGAACGTGACGTTGGCTCTGTGTGTGCATCCCCACAAGGTCCAACCGACCACCCACAGAAAAGCCAGCACACAGGCGGAAAAGGTGCACAGCGTTGAGAGCAGATTGCAGCCCAACGCGCCCCGCGGCTGCTAGCAAAGGAGGTTTCAAGGAGGCCCAGATGACCGCAGCACGGGAGGCGGAAGCAAAAAGAGACCGAACGACAACAAGAAAGAGGCGGACGAAGAGGGAGAGGTGGGATGCGGAACAAAACAGCGAAAACGCGGGAGGCTCACGAGTAGGCAGTCGGGTGGGCGCACAGGTAAATCTAGCGGGAGCTCTGGTAGCCGACCTGGAGGGGTGGAGGTCGAAGGGCGCCTGGACACGGGTGCCGAGGCACGCGTAATCCCAGGGGCCCAGCTGCGCAACGACCTTCGCCAGGATCTTGCATTGAATTCCACTGATGGTGCGGGAGTCGTAGTTGTAGCTGCCGCCAGAGTCGGAGCCCAGGTCGGGGCAGGGTCAGAACTGGAGTCAAGGTTGGCAAAGGAGTCGGAGCGGGAGTCGGAGTTGGTGTTGACCGCCAGGGCGGGGCCAGAAGTGACATGTCGGTGCCGGGGTGGGGGAATGGAGGCAGGGCTCGCAGTTGGGGCTTCCGTAGGCGTCGGTGCTGGGGTTGGAGGTGGAGTCGGGGATGGAGCAAGCGTCGGATGTTGAGTCGGGAGTTGGCGGTGGTGCCGCGTGCCGGAGTCAGCGTCGGTCTCGAGCTGGGAGCCGGCGTAGAACCCGTGACTGCGGCATGCCAGCCCATACGCGTGTACATCCTCGGTGTTGGTGTCGGCGCTGGCTTCGTAGTCGGAGTCAGTGTCGAAATTGGAGGTGCTCGATTCCGTCATGGAAGACAGCGTGGAGCCAGTGAGGACGCAGTCGATGGGGCCAGAAATATCGTCCACGAGGCTGGGACAAATGTGTCCAAAGTGTCCCAGCCTCGTGGACTGGCGCCGGCGCTGGCGAATGGTAACAGCGCTGGCGTAAGCATCACCATTGGTTGCGGCAGATTCGCCAGCGGGCGGGGAATTCATCGTGCTGCAACTCGTCGTGCTGGAATCCATTGGCGGACGTGCTCCCATGAAGTGGGATAGCACCAAGGAAGCAGTTTATAGTCCTCGCAGAAGGCACTGTGGATGTCCCATGTTGCCACAAGCAAACTGTGGTCGCAGCGCCCTGCCCGAGACGCACTGTAGACTTCGCGTCTGCCCGAAAGCGTTCAAGTGGACAGGAATCGTTTCTTTAACGTTTGTTTAGGGACTCCAGTGGTTCCTTATTCGGGCCGAGCGCCCCTTTCACAAGTTGGGAAAACTGAGCTGGTGCACTCTGTCAGAACGAATGTTCGCGGCCGCGGAGGCTGTTTCTGTTCGTGGTGGCGGCACCCTGTCCGAGAAGCACTGTGGAGTTCGCGTCTGCCGATGCTGGCGTCGGAGCTGTTGTCGGTGCGCTGAAACACTGTAGAGTTCGCGTCTGTCGACGCGTGTCCGATGAGTGCGCTGAGCTGTTCGCGTCTGCCGATGCTGCCCGAGAAGCTCTGTAGAGTTCGCGTCTGCCGATTCTGGTCCTGGCGGCGTCGGTGCTTTTGTCGGTGTTGGTGCCGATGTCGGTGTCGATGCTAGTGCTGGTGAGTGTGCCTCGCGACGTTCGTGGTTGGCGTCGGTGCTGGCGTCGGCGGTGGCGTCGGAGATGGCGCCGGCACTGGCCTCGGCGTTGGTGGGTGCGGCGTCGTTGGTGCTGGAGCGGTGGCGTAGGCGCTGGCGTCTGTGCTGTTGGAAGCACCAGCGCTATTCTGGCGGAGGCGCTGGCGTCGGTACTGGCGTCGGCGCTGGACCAAGCGAAAATGAGCATGAGGGGCAGGTCGGAATAACGAGCTGCTAGCGGCTGGAGATCGGCAGGTGGAGGTGGGAGTGGGAGTCTGGTGAGCCGTTGGTGGTGGAAGGGGCAGCGGAATCACGGCACCCCGGGGAGCCGATGGGAGTCGTTCGCGATCCAGCATCGGTTGAGGACGCGGGTGGAATGACCGTGGCCTTGAACACCTTCACATACCCATCGTGTCATTGCGTCGCACATGGCTGCCGTCGGCATTGGGGTCTGGGAGTGTCGCTGGTAGTTGGTGCACCTGTACGTCGCGTAGGACAGAAAGGCGACGGTCGCGAGGATCTCCTGGGTGTTGGCCAAAGGATCCACCAGAAGAAAGGAGTGGAGGTTCACGAACCCGCGCGGGTCGGTGCAAAAACTGCGCAGCAAGCCGCTTCGCCACCAGGCACTTCGCGCAATGCTCCATTGTGTCCTGAGTGTGGGGCACTCTGCACAAGCGACGGGCGGTGGCCCATCGATTCCACATCGTGCTGAAGACCGCCGACTGTACCCTGGGAGCGACCAACTTTTTCAGCTGACGCTTGTGGTGGAGTGCTGCCCGGCCATGCCAATTTTCTGTCCGCTGCCGAACTGGGAACGAACTCGTGATGTGGGTGGTCGGGTAGGGTGAGGCACCAGCGTCGGCACTTGTGTCGGATGCGACAAAACAGGGAGGCCCCAGAGAGCCCAAACAGCGCGACTAGATAGTCAAGAGAGCGTCGAGAGGGCCAAGGGTAGCCCTACGACGGTCCATGATGCGATCGACACGGCTTACAGAACCACCCAAACGCCCCATGAGTGCTCCCAGCTGGCTGCCGAGAAGGCCCTAATTACGAGGTAAAAATCGTCCCAATCCTAGGGGAGACGTGCATTTTTAACATACCCGTCTTCTCCCAGCGTCCATGACGGCCCAAAGTGCTCCCCAAATGATCCCAAGACTGCCCGTAAGGCGCCCAAGAGTCCACCAAGACTGCCCCAGAGGGCCCCATGACGGACCCAGGGGCCCCCTAAGACGGCCTAGGAGAGCCCCAAGAAAGCTCTTGCAGGCGCCGCGGAGGGGGAACACGAACGGGCATGTCGAGCATTTCCCCCAAAGATGGTCCCAAAAGCCCCCGGAGGCCCCCAAAAAGCTCCCTCGCGTCCCCCAGCTGCCCCAAAAGAGGTCCCAAGACAGTAAGGAAAGCAAGAGTTCAACAGTTTCTGGAGTGTTCCCACACACCGTGGCCTCAAAAACCTCGAGCGTCTCCCTCAAGCTGGAGTCCAACATGCGGAGGCGCGAGGGAGATGGCCCTAAGACTGCCGAGGGGCCTCTCGCACGCCCCAAGTTGGCCCCGAGAAAACAGCCGAGAAATCACGAGGTGCCCCAACCCATCGGACAAAAAACACATAGTTAGAGCAAACTCGCATGTTTGGGGTCTTTACAGCGTCCATGACGGCTCAGTAGGTCCCAAGCATGGCTCCAAAACGACACAGGCAGCCTCTGAGAGGACCAGCCGAAGAGGCGCGCGGATGGTCCAAGAGAGCCCCAGCAGGGCCCCAAGAGAGGCCCAAGCGAGGTAACTCGAACTAACCTTCCGAGCCCTCCGCCCCAAGAGGACCCCCCACACCGCCAGCGACGCCCAAGAAACTCCGCAGAAGCCCGGAGACATGCTCAGGACGCCAACTGAAGGCCCTAAGTGGCTTCACACGTCGTCGTTCTTTTGGAGGTCGGCACATGCGAGCATACAACTAGGCTTACACCGCAAATAACAAACCTTATGCAAGCTACCGCTAGAAGCGACATCCTGCGGACTTGCACCCTGCGATCTGAGACGTAGCTGGTCCTGGGCTGCACGTCGAACGAGCCACGGCGCACCTCAGAGGAGTGGGGCCCGGGAACGGGCCCCAGAGGCGCCAGACATTGAGGAAGACCGCTGGGATCAAAAAACATCACATCCGCAGAGGGAGCTCTGGGTGTTGAGCAGGGACCGACCGTCCCGGCATTCCTATAGTCCTACCACGAAATGTTCTTAGAACCCAGAAATGTTCTAAGAACAACAACAACAACAACGTTCTTAAAACATAAACCCGATGTGTTAGAACAAGACACTATCAACCAGACATGTTCGAAGAACATTTCGTGGAAACCACCAAAAGGTTCTTAGAAAATTGTCTGGTGGGGCTCTAGGCGAGCCGGGACGCTTCGCCACTGCGTGAGTCCTGGCCGATGAGCAAGAGGGTCTTGTTCTGGCGGGGCCACAGCACGGCGGGCCCGCCGGGCGGCGCTGGTGCCCCGAGAACGGTCGAGGCGACGCGCTCGTCCACGACTGCAGGCGCCGCATCGGCCCGCGCCGGGGTCGACCTGCGCCGCCGGGGTCGCGACGATCGCGGCTCTCCTACGATGCCCTCGTTCCGTGCCAGCTCGTCGAAGAGGCCCTGGGGATCGAAGTCGCTCTCGCTGTCCCAGTGGATCTTGGGCCGGACCTGTGTCGAGGGATGGCAGTCGGGACGAACACGCAGGGGAAGCGATGAAACAGAAAGTGCTTCGCCGCTGGGGGAGGATTGTGGAGAGGGCGTCCGAAGAATCAACGACGGCGACGCCCACAAGCAGGCCTGCAACCCAAGTGACTGGAATCATCTCCCAGGGAGCTGCTGCGTGACGGGCGCCCGCGGGCATTTCTATTCAGTCGCCATCGTACACTAGGGCATGAGGGAAAGGAGTCCTGAGAGACACAAGTCCTGGACCCCAGCGCTTTGCAAGGCACAACTTTTATTCATACTGCGTGCGCTGCTCTCTAAAAGCGCCAGGGCCTGTGAAGGACCCCCACGCCGAGGACGGCGGAAAACCTCCAGACCGAGGTCCAGAAGGACTATGTGTCTCCGAGCGGCGAAACATCGAAGCCGGGGCGCAAGAAATCAGAATGTCAAGATCGGTGACCCAACCCCTCCCCAGCCTCCGTCTTGGGCAGTCTTCCGAGCCGCGCCCGGCCAGGGCCACCGAGGCTCCGAGGAAGGGCCCCCTCCCCTAGGCTTAGGTCGGGCCTTTCCCACTACAGGCCGGTTTTCGACGAAGAAAAAAAGACGCAGACGAATACACCACAAATATTACGAAATGATCAAAAAATCGTCCCCTGATTAATTTTTGACTATTTTTGAATTTTCCCCATGTAGAAGGACTCGCCCGACTTAAACCTAGACGCGAGGAACGAGGCGGCCTGGGTGTCCCAGCCGCCCAGCAAGCTGCCCGGCGCCGCGCCCGCCGGCCCACCCTCACGCGCAGAGAGCACCTGTCGAGGCACGACTACCACGCCTGGCCAGGCACGGCGGTGGTGGTGGTGAAGGCCCCCCCCCTGCAGGCAGTCAAATGCACGCCCTGCCCCTGCACCGCCAGAAGTGCGACCTGCAGCAGCCCTGCGCAGGTCGCTGCTGGCGGCTGAAAAAGAAGAGAGCGAGGGGGGGGGGGGGGGGCCAGACTCTGGAGAGTGCCCGCAGCCGGGTGCAGCCCAGCATGGGGCGACCGACTCCGCATCTCCGACGGGGCCCGCAGGGGACCACGCTTCGCAGGCGGGGGCTGCACGCGGGCGTGACCCCATCGGCCAGAGCGTGACCTCCGGCGGGGCGCGGCCCGCCGCCCGGCGCACATGACGTGCGGTGCGGCAGCAGCGGCCTGCGTGCTCGGACCCCCCACACGCCCCCCCCCCCCCCCCGGGAGCAGCGCACCACAGTCGGGTCGGGCGAAAGGGGGGGATAGCAAAGGGGGGGTTTGAGAATCAGCTCACGCAGCTAATTTTTCCGGCGCCTCCCGGCGCCGGGAGGCGGCCATGTATCGAGGAATGACCCCCTCGGTGAGGCCGAAACCAGCTGCATGCAGCAAATTTCGTAACCCCCCCTTTCCCAATCCCCCCCTTTCGCCCGGCCCGACACAGGGGGGGCACGCCTTGGCGAAAGGCCACGCGCTCTTCTCAGCTGTGCGGGCGGCCTGAGCAGAACTGCGGCGGCTCGACTCCCTCTCGAGACGTGGGCCCCCCCCTTCCTCTCCACCAGTCCCCCAGGGGGGCCGCTGCTTCATCCCGAGCGGTTTTTGACGCAGGGGCCCGGCTCGCAGGGGGCGAAAGTGAAAGAAAAAACCGACCGCCCCGAGCTTCTCAAAGCCGCCCGACCCTGAGATCCGACGATATGATTGTTCAACCCAGGGCCCCAGATATTCCGACCGATCCCCGTTGGGCAGCTTTCGTCCCTGGATCCATTTCTCATGATTCTGCCCCGATAACAAGCACCGTGAGACCAGAATTAAGGAAAAAGACTTGGGTTGACAAAACAAAATGGTCTGATATCGAAGCGTTCGTGTCCTAACCCCGGCCTCTGGCGACCGTTCGGGACGATGCGGGCCCCCCCAAGGCACCCTTGGCGAGGCGCAGCTGCTGGAACGCATCCCTAGAGAAGAACAAACGCCATAAACATAAACCTTTGGCGCTCCGCGCGGATTTCTTGGATCTGCGCTGGATCTTCTTCCCTGGCGCGCGGAGCGCGCCAGGGGCGGCGCCGGAGGCGCCGCCGGGGGGGGCCCGGCGCGGATCCAAGCAGTCCGCGCGGAGCGCCAACAAATTATGTTCATGGCGTTTTTTCTTCTTTGAATCCCGCGGGCGCGGCGCAACTGCCAGAATGCGCTTGCTCGCGCCGCCAGATGTGCGGGCCAGCGGCCAGCGGCGACGCTAGCGGGCGCATAGCCCAGGGGCAGGCATTCGCCCGGGAGCCTCGCCGAAGACACAGAGCATCGGCGCCCCTGGATACATGCATTGCTTCCCCCTGGGCTATTCGCCCCCGTCGTCGCCTCTGAGGAGAAAGGAGCGAGGAGGAGATTGAGGAGGAGGAGAAGGGAAGGGAAGGGAAAGGAGGAGGAGGAGGAGGAGGAGGAGGAGGAGGGAAGGGAAGGGAAAGGAGGAGGAGGAGGAGGAGGCGGAGAAGGAGGAGGAGGAGGAGGAGGATGTGTGCGTGTGTGGGGGGGAGGGGGGGGGGGGAAACTGCTGCGGGCCTCGCTGCCGACCCGGTCGCCCAGGCCGCCCCAGCGGAGTGCAGCGCCCACGGCGCCCGCGGCGGCCGCGCCGGCGGCGGCGGCGCGGCAGGCCCCCCAGTGGCGGCGGCGAGGCCACCGGGCCTCGAGGCCTTCGCCTCGCGGGGCGTCCTGAGGGCCCTCCTCTGCTCTCTTGGGAGCGACGACGGAGGCGAATGGCCCAAGGGACGGCAGTGCACGGGCGATTTCGGAAGCCCGGCGACCCCAAAACGTTGGTGCCCCTTGGGGGCGCAGTCTTTGCTTCCGCCGCCTTCCGCCGAGCTTCCGCCGGCGGAGGCGGCCTCGCTCTACTTCCGCCGACATTCCGCCGCCCTTCCGCCGCCTTCCGCGGCGGAAGAGCTGAAACTCCTTTTACCCTCGAAGGCAAGGCCTTTTTTCTGGAACGCAAGGGCTTCGATGGTCCATGCCTTCGGTGAGGCTCCCGGGCGAATGCGTGCAGTTTCCGCCCCTGGGCTCTATTCGCCCCGACCGTCACCGCCGACTCTCGAGGGGGGGGGGCAGACCTCTCCGACGATCGGAGTCTTGCAGTCCCGGCGACTTGGCCATCGCTCGGGCGTGCCCTCCCCGTGCCTGTTTCGGCTTCGCGAGCCTTCCTCTCTCACAAGAGGCTCCGAGGTGCTCCTGCAGGGCCCAGATGTTCTGGCCCTGGCCTCGCAGAGGTAAAGGAACACGTCCGAGCGATGATGCAAAGTTCTCGACGCCAGCCGTGTGGAGCCCGTTCCCAGGGCCCTGGGGCCATCAGATATGGACCCGTGGCTGAGCAACTGCGCCCATGCAGGGAAGAGGTCGGGACCCCCTGGGTCGCGCACTGCAGAACTCACAGCGTCGGATGTCTGGGGGGGGGGGCGGGCGGGAACGGTCTCCCTGGGGCCGTAGGCGACCCGAGAAGGAGGAGGAGGAGGAGGAGGAGGAGGAGGAGGAGGGAGGAGGAGGAGGAGAGAGGGGGGGGAGGGGGAGGGAAGGAGGAGGAGGAGATGGAGGAGGGAGGAGGAGGAGGAGGAGGAGGAGGAGGAGGAGGAGGAGGAGGAGAGCAGAGGAGGGGAGGGAGGAAGGAGGGAGGATGAGGACGAGGAGGAGGAGGCGGGCCATGAATCACAAGGGTGACGAGGAGGGGAGGAGGAGGAGGAGGAGGAGGAGGAAGGAGGAGGAGGAGGAGGAGGAGGAGGAGAGGAGGAGGAAAGGAGGAGGAGGAGGAGGAGGAGGGGAGGAGGAGGACGAGGATCGAGGAGGAGGAGGAGGAGGAAGAGGAGGAGGAGGAGGAGGAGGAGGAGGAGGAGGAGGAGGATCGAGGAGGAGAAAGAGAAGGAGGAGGAGGATCGACGAGGAGCAGGAGGAGGAGGAGGAGGAGGAGGAGAAGGAGGACGGGTCCCCTAAGCACTTCGGAGAAACCCTCCAGGTGGGGGAGGGGGGAACATCGAGCTGGAATCGGCGACGGATCGCCGATGCAGACACGGCACGCTCCTGGGCACCGGGCAGAGGGGACCGTCGGAACCCCTGCTCTCGGCGATCCCCCTGAGCCTACACCCCCAGACATGCGATGTCCTGATTGTGCTCCAAATGGGGTCCCTGGAGATCCGTGTGTGGCTCCCCCTCCTTTTCCTCCTCCTCCTCCTCCTCCTCCTCCTCCCACCCTGAGCCCACACCCCCAGACATGCGATGTCCCCATTGTTTTCCATATGGGCTCCCCGCAAGAAGCCCCGACCCATTCCCCAGGACTGGTTTGCAATCCTGAGTCCTGGGACCCAGCGAGGGCCTTCACAAGTCAAATACAACCAAGAACCTCCCGTCGTGATTTGTTGCCACGACCCCCAAGGGAGGCCTCGACCCATGCCCCAGGATTGGTTTTCCATCCCGAGCCGCTTTTTGCTGGTCCTGGGGCCCGGCGCAGGCCTCCAGAGGCAACGGACAGCCAAAAACTTCCCGCCGCGATGTTTTGTGACGACGCGAGCGTGCTTCGGCCCCCCCCGTCGCTGCCCGGGGTGATTTTCTGTGACGCCGCGAGCGTGCTTGGGCCCCCCCTTGTCGCTGCCCCTGGCTCCTGGCTATCGACCAGCGATCCACGAGCGATGGGGTGGTCGACGCCGTCCCCCCCGGAGCCGATGCACCCCCCTCCCCTGTCGCCGCGCGTGGCTCCTGGCCGCCCTCCTCGCCGGAGAGCAGGCTGGCCTCGCTGTACGCGCAGGTCATGCTGGGCGCGGCAGGCGAGCAGCCTGCCAAAGATCCCCACCCCTGCGACTGGCACGACCCCAGTCGCGATGTCGACCTTAAGGGGTACCCTCGGCTTCCGAGGACCTGCCCCCCTAAGGCTGCCATCGCCCCCTGGCCTGTCAGTCTGAGAGGCAGGGGATGAGATCGAGGCTGCTTCGCAGGGGCGCGCACCGCGGGCCGCGCAGAGGCTGCGGCCGCTCCCGCGGCGCTGCGGCGAGCACGGCCCTCCTCTACCGCTGCTGGCGGCGGCGCCATGGCCGCAGCGCCCGCGCCGGCATGCTGCTTTCGGCGGCGCGCCGCAAAGGGGGGGGGATGCAAAGAGAAGGCTCCCTTCTCAGTTTCGTACCCCATCAAGCGGTGCCAATGTGTAAACCGTTCGCCGATCAAGACGGTCAGTCCTGTCTCTTCTGAAACAGTCCCGGTCTGCCCGTCCGTGCATCCCAAAGCACGAAACCCCTGAAAATACCAACGTTCAACGACGAGCACTGGAAACCCAAAACATTCAACGACGACGACGACGACGCTCCGATACTTATGAGCTTCCAATGCGAGGTCCCCCGAAAAGACCCCTGGGGAAACGCAATGGTACCGATACTGCTACTCCACGGAGCCCTCCCAGGGTGCGTTCTGACCAGCATTTCGAGGCCAATCCAGCGGTGGCGACGAGGGCCTCCAAGGAGGCCCACAAAGGGAAGAGCGAGGGAAGGTAGCGGTATCGGTACTTTGTCCTCCGCTAAACTCCTCCCCCAGTGCAGAATTTTTACCCTGAGTCGTCTTTTGACGGCACTGGAGCCTCCAGGGTCCGGAAGGTTGGAGGAGGAGGAGGAGGAGGAGGAGGAGGAGGAGGAGGAGGAGGAGGAGGAGGGAGGATGAGGAGGTGGGAGGAGGAAGGAGGAGGAGGAGGGTTGGCCTGGTGCCTAGTCGCTGCGATTAAGGAGGAGAAGGAGGAGGAGGAGGAGGAGGAAGGAGGAGGAAGGAGGAGGAGGAGGAGGGGGAGAACGGAGGAGAAGGAGGGAGGAGGAAGAGGACGAGGAGGAGGAGCAGGAGGAAGACGAGGAGGAGGGCCCGCTGCCCTCGGAGGCCGACCGCTCCGCAGGGCCCCCGTCGGGATGCCTGCCGAGAGCGCCGGAGGGCCGGGCACGCCGAGATCGGCGCGACGGCGGCGGCAAGACGACGGCGACGGCGACGACGACGACGACGGCAAGACGACGACGACGACGGCAAGACGACGACGACGACGACGACGACGACGACGACGACGACGACGACGACGACGACGACGGCGACGACGACGACGACGACGACGACGGTAAGGCGACGACGACTGCAAGACGACGACGACGGCAAGACGACGACGAGACGACGCTCCCCGCCTGGGCCGCAGGCCGCGGAGGCGAGGCCCTCGATGGCTGGCAGGCCGCGCGCGGCGCCGCGGCCGCCGCCGCGGCGGACGCCGTAGAGGTGGAGGGAACCGTCCTCGGACGAGCCACATCGAGTTACAGTGGAGGCCAGTCCACAAGAAATCTTCCACAAGAAACCCAACCCTGAGACCCCAGAACGTCCGTTGATTTTTGGTGTGGGAACGTCACGCCTTCCATAGCAAAGCCATCGAAACCCAAGAAACCAAGGGCACCCTGGAGGCAAGCAGGGTGTTTCTTGGCATGGGTCTCCACTGTAGGTCGGGCATGTCCTCCTACAGGCGGATGTTGGGCGGACAAAATAGTATGGCCAAAGCAAATCAGACAACATTCAAAAATAGTAAGAAAAACATGAGTCCCCAAACACTTGTTTGACTATTGCTTCCCAACCAGTGCTTGCAGTGGAGAGGGTCCTTGCGGAAGTTGAAAGGTGTGGCGAAAGGGTCCCGCCGATTTTGGTCGCACGCTGGGTTCCCGGGTTCCTGGTTCCAAGTTCCCGGGTTCCCGGTTCCGGGCCGATTTCGGAGGGCGGCGAGGTTCACGGGCTCCCGGGTTCCTGGTCGATCTTCTTATCGATCGGTCTTACCATCGATGACATTACCCACTTCTCTATCGATATCACCATCGATCTCACAACCGATCTCACTATCGACCTCACAAGCGATCTCACTAGAGATCGCATGAGCGATCTCGCGATCGATCTCACTATCGATCTCATTGAATCGATTTCACTCTCGGTCTAACGATCGACCTTACCGTCGTCCTCACTATCGATTCCACCATCGATCTCATTATCGATATCACAATCGATCCCAAGATCCATTATATAAATTTTCAAAGCATCCACTGATTGGGTTTTCTCGGGGGTAATTTTATAGTCTTCCTGTAGAGGGACAAGCCCGACTTAATCCTAGATGGGGTCCGAGTAGATGGGGTCGGAGGATCGCGCCGCGTCGGCGATGTCGACATGAAGCAAATCGGGCTCCTCCGCATCGAGCCGCATCGCCGGTACATTGGCGATGCGGCGCGATCCTCCCACCCCCTCGAATCCGACCCCACTCAGCAGGCCTCGAAGACAACAGCACGCGCGAGCGGACGGTCGGGAACTCCAGCAGGCCGTGTCGTGGCGGCGGCCCCGGCCACACGCGGTGCCTTGCGAGCGGATGGCGTGTCGCTTCGCTCCGCGGGGCAGGGGGGGGGGGAAGGAGGAGGAGGAGGGAGGAGGAGGAGGAGGAGGAGGAGGAGGAGAGGAGGAGGAGGAGTGGAGGAGGAGAGGAGGAGGAGGATCGAGGAGGAGGAGGAGGAGGAGGAGGAGGGGAGGAGGAGGTGGTGGTGGAGAGGAGGGGAGGAGGAGGAGGAGAGGAGGTGGTGGAGGAGGAGGAGGAGGAGGAGCGCGTCGCGCCAGAGCGTGCTGGGCCAGAGCCGGCGGCGCGACACACGCTGAGCCAGCGGAGCTTCAAGGCTCCCGACCGCAGACTTTTGAAGCGAAGGCAGGGCGAAGACACCTCAGGATCGAGGCATAGCGGGGGCCACGGCGACCCGAATCTCCGACTTCGTGGTCTTCTCGACTGGGCCGCGAACTCCAGGGCCAAACGCTCGGAGAGATGCGAGAAAGGGGGGCGTCCATATACTCGATCGGGGTGCGTCCAGGTTCCTTTGATGTTCTGAGCAGCCAGCTTTTTGGGGTGGGACTCAGGCATTCCGGGCGAGAAGACGCGTGCGAACACACACGTGGATCGAGATACACCGGTAACCCCTGAGAACTGGCGGAGGATAAGGGGGAGGAGCGGGAGAAGAGGGAGGACGAGGAGGAGGAGGAGGAGGAGGAGGAGGAGGAGGAGGAGGAGGAGGAGGAGGAGGAGGGGGAGGGGGAGCAGGGAGGGGAGGAGGAGGGGACGAGGAGGAGGGGGAGGAGGAGGAGGAGGAGGAGGAGGAGGAGGAGGAGGAGGAGGAGGACAGGGGGGGAGGAGGATCGCACGCCACTAAGGGGAAAGGGAGAAAATGAAGTCCATGACTGAACAAACAGCTCCTCCCAGGGGGGCCCATCAAAGTGGACTATTGTCAGTCACAGGCAGGAAGGACAAAGACCTGCCCGTGACCCCGACAGGGCCCCCCCTGAATCTTCAGCGAGACCCTGATCTTCAGAGCGCTCACTCCTCTCTCCAAGACGGTGCGCCTCGAGCTCATTCAGCCCGAACGCTCGGAGACAGTCTGCCAGACATGCGAATTCAAGCGGGCCACTCCACGGCCCTTTCGCCCCGTCTCTCTTCGCCCCTGAGACGTGCCCGAGACCCCCCACCCAAGCTCTCGCCGCCCCAGAAGGAGTCTTCCAGGGGCCCAATTTGAGAGGTCTGTTTGGATGCGTCCCTTTGAGGAGTGCTTTGCTGTTCCTCCTACCTGGGTCCACAAGGGCGAACTGGGAGCTTTGGCGTTCACCACGGAGCCCTCTGGAGCCTGCTGACGCCGTGGCATAACCGCCACAGGTTGTGCAAAAAAAGATGGTTGGGGCTTCCTCGCCCTCTACATCGAACTCGAGCAAAACATGGCCTCTCACCGACCACGGAACTTGTTCGCTATCACTGGCCCTAGCGGCCAAACCGGGACTGATTGGTCCTCTCGGGCTGCCTGTGCGGAGGGGAGGTATGGGCGGAGGCGGTGGGGGATCAGCAGCAGCAGCAGTTTCCTCTCCCTCTTTTACCTCCTCCAAAAACTCACCCACTTTGGCGTCACCCTCAAGCGAAACCATCATTAGCCCTTGGGCTCCTATGTTGTCGAAAACTCCAAGGTCCGCATAATGGGCTTCAGCCCTGCTGATGTACCGACACAGGGAACGGGCAATCAATCCGCCGGCCCCCTTGTGGGGCTACCAGGCTGTAGGCCGAAGGTACGCAGTTTCCTGTACCAGTTGCTGCTCAGAGTTTCCACTGTTACAGTTCTCCTTCTTGCTGCATGCTGTTCCTTGTTGATTGGTCGCGCGAGGGGGGGGAGGCCCAAACGGGCAGGTTTTGCACGCCCTGAGCGTGTTGTCTGAACTGCTGGGGTAAATAAAAATTGACACCCTTCACGCAGATCGGCGGGGTCAGGGTCCAAAAACACAGGGGATTTGCCACACTTCTGCAATTCGGTGGCACCACTCACGCAGATCGGCGGGGTCAGGGTCCAAAAACATAAGGGATTTGCCACATGTCTGAAAATTACTGGCCACGCAAATCGGTGGGGTCAGGGTGCAAAACCACAAAGATTTGTTACATGTTTGCAATTTGCTGGCACCCCTCACGCAAATCGGCGGGGTTAGGACTCAAAAACTCAAAAAGGATTCGCCACATGTTTTGAAATTCGGTGGCACCCCTCACGCAGATCGGCGGGGTCAGGGTCCAAAAACACATTGGATTTGCCACATTTCTCAAATTTGATGGCACCCATCATGCAAATCGGCGGGGTCAAGGTCCGAAAACCAAGGGGATTCACAACATTTCTGAAATCCGGTGGCACCCCTCACGCGGATCGACAGGGTCAGGGTCCAAAAACACAGGGGATTTGCTACATTTTTGAAGTTCGGCGGCACCCTCACGCAGATCCGTAGCGTCAGGGTCCAAAAATGTGAGGGAAGTGCCACATTTCTGAAATTCGGTGGCACCCATCACGCAGATCCGTAGGGTCAGGGTCGAAAAACGAACAGGTCTCGACACTGCTTCACGGCGGCGCCCAGACCCCATGATTTAGCTGTTGCATCTCCCATTATCCGAGACAGGGGGCCGGCGGCATGGGGCGAAGCCCTTGCGGATAACATTCCTTTCGCATTGAACCCTGCCGCGGGATCTCTCTTGGCCAGCGTAGACCCTGCTGTCGCAAGGCGATCTGCCTCGTTGTTCCCTTCGTGCTCGAAAAGGGTGATCCGCCCCTCACGCACATCGGACATAAACTGCGATGCTGCCTACCCAGGTTTCTGATGGCGACCTGTATGGCGAAAGCCTCACCATCGCGCGCAACCTGATCAGGGCACTGGGTAGGGGGGGCCACCCCGTA